AAAAAAACCCCCATGTCTATATTATTAACATAACAGTCACTTCCTTTGCAGGTGATCATGGCTATGAGAATAAAGATCCCAGTGAAAAATTCGAAGTGATCAGGCATGGAGGTGGAATGGACAAGGAACTGGAGATGCAACTAGAAAGGCATGAGAGAAGCCAGTCAAATAGTTGGAATCAGGAAAGCTCCATGGATGCTGAGACGCAAGGCTTTCTTGCCCAACAAGAAAAAATAAAGAAAACGTATATGGGGAAAAGTGTAAGACTATTAAAAGACAAATTAGTTGTAAATGAATACTCTCCAACCCAAACCAAAGGAGAAGATCATATATTCAGAGACACTGGAAAAAATCACAATTGGACTTTCACTGTTTCCTGTGAAAATGGGTCTCTTACATCTCATAAAAGGATCCACACAGGGGGAAAGTCATATAAATGTTTGGAATCTGGAAAGGTTTTCAGAACAAGCCGTCAAGTTACTTCACATGAAAGGATCGAGACAGGGGAGAAACCACATGAATGCATCGAGTGTGGAAAGAGCTTCAGGACAAGCAGCCAACTTATTGCCCATAAAAGGATCCACACAGGGGAGAAGCCATTTAAATGCATGGAGTGTGGAAAGAGCTTCAGTCATAGTAATTCCCTTACTTCCCATAAAAGGATCCACACAGGGGAGAAGCCATTTAAATGCATGGAGTGTGGAAAGAGCTTCAGTCATAGTAATTCCCTTACTTCCCATAAAAGGATCCACACAGGGGAGAAGCCATTTAAATGCATGGAGTGTGGAAAGAGCTTCAGTCATAGTAATTCCCTTACTTCCCATAAAAGGATCCACACAGGGGAGAAACCATATAAATGCATGGACTGTGGAAAGACTTTTACTCAAAACGGTAAACTTACTTCCCATAAAAGGATTCACACAGGGGAGAAGCCATATAAATGCATGGAGTGCGGAAAGAGCTTCAGTCATAGCTATTCCCTTACTTCCCATAAAAGGATCCACACAGGGGAGAAGCCATATAAGTGCATGGAGTGTGGAAAGGGCTTTATTAGTAGCAGTCATCTTATTTCTCATAAAAGGATCCACAAAGGACAGAAACCATATAAATGCATGGTGTGTGGAAAGAGCTTTAGTTTTTCCCTTACTTCCCATAAAAGGATCCACACAGGGGAGAAGCCATATAAGTGCATGGAGTGTGGAAAGGGCTTTATTAGTAGCAGTCATCTTATTTCTCATAAAAGGATCCACACAGGAGAGAAACCATATAAATGCATGGACTGTGGAAAGACGTTTACTCAAAACGGTAAACTTACTTCCCATAAAAGGATTCACACAGGGGAGAAACCATATAAATGCATGGTGTGTGGAAAGAGCTTCAGGACAAGCAGTCAACTTATTCCCCATAAAAGGATTCACACATGGGAGAAGCCATATAAATGCATGGAGTGTGGAAAGACCTTCAATCATAGTTTTTCCCTTACTTCCCATAAAAGGATCCACACAGGGGAGAAACCATATAAATGCATGGACTGTGGAAAGACTTTTACTCAAAATGGTAAACTTACTTCCCATAAAAGGATTCACACAGGGGAGAAACCATATAAATGCATGGCGTGTGGAAAGAGCTTCAGGACAAGCAGTCAACTTATTGCCCATAAGAGGATCCACACAGGGGAGAAGCTATATAAGTGCATGGTGTGTGGAAAGAGCTTTACTCACAAGGGTCATCTGAATTCCCATTATAGGATCCACACAGGGGAGAAAGCATATAAATGCATGAAGTGTGGAAAGAACTTTACTCAGAAGGGTCATCTGAATTCACATAAAAGGATCCACACGGGAGAAACCATATAAATGTGTGGAGCATGGATAGAGCTTCAAGAGGAGCAATGAACTAATTTCCCATACACAGATCTCTTTGGGTGAGAATCCATGTAAATTCTAGATTTAGTTGTTTAAATCTATACTTTTTCTATTTGTATACACTGAACTGGGAAAAGAAGATTTCTTTGAGTCTGACCCTCACAACTGGCAGCCCAAGAGAAATTAATTTATCAATGAAAATAAATAAAGTGGTTGCTTGAAGGAGAGAGAAGAGACTATTTTTCAGGAGCCAGATACACAAAACATTCCTCTAGGAATTCTTGGAAAAGGTGATTAGCCAGGACTCCAAGAGAGAGGAGGACTCCGGTGAAATTAGTTGCTTTCAAAGGGAACGTTCTGAGGTCAGGCTCCCTATTGAGCTGGGGTTTCCTGTGGTTCCCTTACCTTTGTTGTTAACTCGTTAAGTTGTTCGTTTCCAACTCTTGGGGACCCCATGAACCATAATGCCCCAGGCCTTCCTATCCTTCACTGCCTCCCAGAGTTTGCTCAGTTTCATGCTCATTGCTTCAGTGATGCT